TATATATATTTCAAGCATGATAGCCTTTTAAGAATAACCACAATGCCTCCCAGGATTACTACTTTGAAGTACAAAATTCTTTTGTTTGAGCTTTTGGAATATTAATGCATATACTTCAGTTTTATTCAGGGTTAGAAGTGGTTTAAAATGGTTCAGTTATGGCTGACAGGTAGTGTACTTGTTGCATAGCAACCAAATCTCTTACATATCAGATTTTGATCTGAATAGGAAACAGGCAATGGTGTCCTGCTCAGTTTTATTTCACTTTAGAAATGCAAAGACTCAGTTGGGATCTTGGCTGTGGTAGTTAAGGTTATGTGTCAACTTGACTGGGCCTGGTTTTGAGTGGCTGGACAGCCGGATGTAGTTATTCCCCATGGTAAGATTGGTAATCAACTCCATGGTGGAATCTACTGGAGCAGCTGAGTAGCTGCTTTAGGGATGTGGGCTGCTTCCAATGTATAAGAAGCAACTTTGAGGAAGCTTTCCAGCTTTTGGCATGCTTGAATCCTGCATGTAGCTGAGCAATTATTTAGCAACTGCCATGTTGTTTCCTAGTCTTCAGACTCTTAATGGACTTGAATCAATGGTCTGCCATGTGGTTTGGTAAAATCAGGACTATGACTTTTTACTTGTTGCCCTTGGGTTTGTCAGCTTCAGCAGCCATCAGCTGTCTGAGTGAAGAAAACCTCCAGCTTCAGTGGGCCGGGAGCAAGAGGCATAGCTGAAGCCCAAGGTTGAGGGGCTTTCACGCAGCCCCTAGAGATTGGCACTTTGAACTCGGACTTCTTACCTCCAAAACTGTAAGAGAATAAATTTCTATTTGTTCAAGCAATCACATTTGTGGTATTTTCTGTTAGAGTGGTATGAAGTAACCAAAACATGCGCTTAATGTTTAAAGTGAAATTTTGTCACTAAATGGTGGTTGTTATTGTTGTTAGGCGCCATTGAGTCAGTTCCAACTCATAACGATCATATGTACAACAGAAGGAAATGTTGCCCAGTCCTGTGCCATCCTCATAATTGTTGCTATGTCTGAGCCCATTATTGTAGCCCCTGGGTCAATGCATCTAATTGAGGGTCTTCCTCTTTTTCACTGACCCTCTATTTTACCAAGCATGATATCCTTCTCCAGGGACTGGTCCCTCCTGATAATATGTCCAAAAGATATGAGACAAAGTCTCGCCATTCTCACTTCTAAGGAGCATTCTGACTGTTCTTCCAAGACAGATTTGTTTGTTCTTCTGGCAGTCCATGGTATATTCAATATTCATCACCAACTCCATGACTCAAATGCATTAAATCCCCTTCAGTTTTCCATATTCATGTTTAGGAGCACCGTTTACTCTTTTAGACCTTGGGAAATTATTCATTACTTCAAAAAATGAGTGGAACTCTTCTTAAACACTGGAAAGAGCTTAAGAGGTTTTGAGTCTGAAGATGTGGATTCACATGTATTATGGTTTCCACAGTTATTTACTGCATGACCATGGGTTATTTCCTTAACCCTGCTGACTTTCATACCACTCATCTGCAGAAACAGAGGAAGTAGAGCTATTTTATCTACCTCTTCCACCACTCGTCTGTCAGTTTGTCAGACTGTGGTGGCTTGCTTGTTGCTGTGAGGGAGCTATGCCACTGGTAGTTCAAATACCAGCAGGGTCACCCATGGTGGGCAGATTTCAGGGGAGCTTCCAGACTAAGACAGTCTAAGAAGAAACACCTGGCAATCTACTTCTGAAAATTAGCCAATGAAAATTCTATGCATCACAACAAAATATTGTTCCATATAGTGTTGCAAGATAAGTCCCCTAGATTGGAAAGCACTTGAAATACACAGAGGTTACAACAATGGATTTGAGTATATTGATGGTCATGAAGATTGTTCACAGTTGGGCAATGCTTGATTCTATTGTACATGAGATCTCCAAGAGGCAGAGCTAACTTGGTTGTTGTTATGTGCCTTGGAGTCGGACTCGACTCATAGTGACCACTCCTTGGGTTTCCAAAGCAGTATCACTTTGGAAGTAGATTGTCCAACCTTCCTTCCGAGAAGTGGCTGGTGGGTTTGAACCACCAGCCTTCTGGTTAGCAGTCAAGTGCCTTAGACACGACACTACCAGAGCTCCTAACTTGGTAGTAACTGGGAGAGGGGGAAGCCACATCTATGTCACATGATTTTAACCAAAGACACCAAAAAAGGGAGTTCTAGTGGCATAATGCCTAAGGCATTTGACTGCTAACCAGAAGGCTGGCAGTTCAAACTCACCAGCCACTCTGCAGAAAGAAGACTGGGCAATCTATTTCTGTAGTGATACCACCTTGGAAACCCAAGGAGGGTTTCCTGTGAGTTAGATCCAACTGTACAGTACATGATTTTAGGGGATTAAATGAGATAGTATATGCACCAGGATAAAGTGCTATCCAAGTGTAAGATTTTGGATCAGGGTCCATCTCTTATGTACTAGATCTCGAAGGTGATAGAAACTGCCCCCCCCCCTTTTTTTAGATTTATCATTTACACATTATTTTGCATTCTTTCATTTTTTCCTCTTGTGTGAATGGCTCTTGTTTAATGTTCTTTTCACTGTGCCTTCCACCAAAAGAATTAGAGCAGAGCTAAGAAGCAGGTCAATCTACTTAGGAACTAAGTAATTAACTCCCTAAAAGTTTTGGGTCAAAGAAGGCTGCCTCAGACATCCATGCTGCGACTCTTATCATTTCTAAATGAGAGTTAGTAAGATCACTGCTAACATCTAAACTGAGATCAGAAGTTGATGTGTCTACACAGATTGACCATATTCTACCATTTCAGAGCTTCTACACTTCTGGACACTCACACTTCCATTTCTTTGCCCCTGTAATCCTTTTGAATCATAATAATATAATTATCAGTATACTTTTCATCTCCCTTTACTACTGTCAAGATAATTATGGCACTGAATGCTCAAATGTGCAGACTGGACCAAGATGAGAAAGTTTGGGGTCTGATTCCCTTATGGAAAGCCTCTACTCTTTGAACAAGCTGTTCTTTGCTTCTAAGCCACCAAACTGTGCAGAGATTAAAAGTTTAAAGTTCACTGAGATCTGTTAATATCTCTTTTACCAACACGCCCCCTTCAAATCTAAACCTGTTGCCATCAATTCTTCCAACTCATAGTGACCCTATATTGTTGTTACGTGCCGTCAAGTCAGTGAAGCAATCTTTATGGAAGCAGACTGCCATATGTTTTTCCTGTGGTGCTGCTGGTGGGTTCAAACCACTGACCTTTTGGTTGGCAGCTGAGGGCTTAAC